TCATCGTACCAACCACGTCCTCTTCTACTACTACCACGCCGACCACTATGGCTTTGATTATAATATTCTTCGCATTCTCTCATTACCTTCAGCAGAAACAGCTGAGTGATAAAAAGTGGAACTGATATGTTAACATATATCCCTCTTTCTATCTTGTTTTTTTTTTTTTTTTTATGAAATAATTATTGATAACGAATATGAAAGATGTAGCTGTGAAACATTTAACTTCTAGTAATGTTACTCGTTTAAAAATATTCATCACATACCTGATTTTCAAAACCTGTACCTCGACCGCCAATTCTAAATCCTCCTCTTCCATAGCCTCCATATCCACCAGCAATTTGATAATCATTTCTGTCATACTGAAAACCTAGGCCTCCTTGATATCCACCGCTACCTCTCTGATATCCTCCATCACTTCTATAATCGCCTCGTTGCCTACCTATAACTTATTTTTTAATAAGTGCAAAAATTTTATTACATAAAACTATTTTGGTCATAGAACAAGAAACATACCGCCTTGATCCGGAACGCGATCCTTTATCCAAGGAGGCATTTCCGGCGGAGGAGCCCGTAGTTCAGATGGCCTACCACCACGATCACCCGGACGATCAGTAATCAATATCTGAACAATTTATTTCATAAAGATAATAAAGCTACTTCTCCTCTCAATTCCAAATGTTTTATCTTAATGCTAAATTCTCATACAACAGTATATATTTAAATGGTACAAGAATAATTTCTTTTATATGCAATATTAAGTCTCGAGAGAATGATACAACTTGAAGTTCAATATTTTCTTTTTAATTTAGCACCTTGTAACGTGTTATATGTTACAAAAACACTTTTTTCCTTTAATATTTACACCGACAAGGGGAAGCTTTAACAAAAGGAAATATGATAAAAAGATGAGAAAACTTTTATAGGTTACATTTGAGAGGAAAGATGCAAAATTCAGTTAATATGAAATGATAAGAAAACAGTAAAAATTATTTGAAATGAAAGAAAAAAAGAAGACAAAACTGGAAAAATGTTTAACTTTATTTAAGCGTGATGCGGTACGTTTTCTTTCTTTTTCATTATTTATTCGATCAACAATTAGAAGAGAGCTAGTCGCCGCAAGTAAATCATCCATACCAACATTTGATGTTACAGCAATGTGTTCTCGTCGAGGACGATAAATATCATGTAACTTATCCTGAAAGACAATAAATGAGAATTTCTCATCATTTTAAGAATAGTAAAGTGTAAGTTATCAACCAATTACTTGAAATCACATTTGCTGAATTAATTGTTAAATTATTATTGAATTTACCAGAAGAAATGTTTACCTGCATTTTCTTTATACGATCGGACCAAGTGAATGATTGAATTGTAACATCGAGACGTTTAAGCAATAATAGAATCCGACTTCGATATTCCTGCACTAATTTTTCATTCAATACTTCGATTTTTTCCCACTGTGTATCACTTAACGACGCGGTTAATAGTGGACGTGGTTTTTCTTTACATTTGTCCATTTGTTTCGTAGCCTGTAACCAACGTCAAAGAATCATCAAATCAAAAAACTTTCAGCACTTCCATTAAAATCAATCATTTATCCTACCAATATGAATATGAACATTTATGCACTTACATTAATCAACGGTGTGAGAATAAAGGAAAAAACAAAACTAACCAAATCTTTTAATGCTGAGAAAATCTGCTCAACTGTAATATCAGCAGGTAACTGATTGATACCAACTGCTACCAATGCATTTTCTAAGTGAAGTACTTCAGCACTCTTATACTGTAAATAAACAAACTTTAAAATCATACTTATATTTGTTGAGATGAAGCATTTTGCATAGAATAAATATTAACGGAAATTTTAATTATCATTTAATTAGTAAAAAGTATTAATTCCTATGTCGTATTCAACAGTTTATGGAAGAAGACTTTTTTTTTCAACGGAAATATGCGCAACAAAGTAATTAATATTATGTAAAGAAATTTGTATAAGTCAGATAATTTAAATTAAAGAACAAATATTTTAAACGATGCTAAAGGCAAAGTTGAAATTAGAAAGAAGGCTATGCTTCTCTAGTAAACATCATTCTTAAGCATATGTGAAATCTACTCTATCAAATGAGAATAATTTTGAAAAAGTAGAAATAAAGAAGGTATTAATCTAGGTTTCATTTTGCAATAACTAGAAAGTTTAGTTTTCATAATCTCAAAAAAAAAATTTTTAATGTGTTTTAGTTCTTTCTCTTAGGTTACCACGTTTTCCATCTTTTTCTGGAAAAAAGTCCACAAAACGACCTAAGATAAATGCTGAATTTAATTTTTAAAAATTAAATGACATATAAGTAAAAAATGAAAAAATACCAAACTACCTGGCAAGTTTTCGAAATTAAGACCTAACGAACAACTTGTAGCAAAACAAGCAAAATGCTTAAAAGCGAATTATAATAAACCTCAGGTATTTCTTCATGTAATCGATTCAGCGCAGTCAATCGAGCGCATTTCATATGCCCAATTAAAAAATCAAGCAATTTTGTTTGATTTTCAGTCGAACGAAATCTTTCTACAACTGGTCCAGTTGTTAACGCATCCACTGGGCATTCTGGAATATTTGCTTATTCATGTTTAAACTAGTCTTGATTATTGATTGAAAATGAAATATTTGAAAAATTATGTTACAGCTAATCATTACATCTAAGACAACTTTCTTCTCAATTTCCTTCCTCATATTCTTATTTCACTTTCCTATCTAACTCATTGTTATGAATTAAACAAACTTGATTTTCCTAAAAAAACTTCACTAAATCAAAAAAGAAAATCCTCATTGTTGTTCAATTCAAGACAAGAAAAAAATGTTACCTAATTCAGACAAAATTGAACTAAGGTCTAATAAGAAAAATTCCACATTATCGGATCCAGCTGGTCCATGAACCGTTTCATCTAACCCATACAGTGACGATATCTCATTACACATCCATTCGATTAGCTTATAGAAACGCAAATCTTCAATGCCTGCTTTTTGTAAGTCTTCTAATTCTTCTGATGGAAAAATATTGAATCTGTAAAATGTGTAGAGAATAAATCTTTGATATATTTTAAAATGCAATATAGTATCATTTGACATCATAGAAACATATAAAATCACTGAAAATCAAAAAAGAGCTACATCTATACAAGCATTTATTTGATCAGTATAATTTAATTTGATTCCATTACCAATATTAAATTTCACAAGTGAATTCCAAATTTAAAAACGATAATTCTGCAAGAAAATTTTAAATTCGTTGCTAATTGTTCAAATGAATTCATTAATTTCTTAACTGAATAGAATAAGATAAAAGAATGCTGTTCCTGCTCCTATTATTCATGTAAATGAGAAAAGAACAAAAACTATTTTTGTAATTCCAATTAAGCTTAATATTTCTGGATAATTTGGTCTAATAAATAATATGAAACAATACGGTACATAATCATAATATCATATAAAAGCATCTAGAAGAATAAAAAATTGTTCACTGCAGAAGTGAGAACTGAAACATGCAATACACTTACCCGAAGGAAATAATTTCACTAGCAATAAACGATCGCTTCTGCTCCTGTAATTTCTCATCCATTTATACTGAAATTAATAACTTTATTTTTGATAGAATATAATTTTTCCTCAATAAATGAATCGCTTTTTTGAAAAAAAAAAGTTTCAATATCTAATGAATCAGTGATTTGAATATGCAAAAGATATAAAAGATGCACCAGTGATATTACAATCATTGTTCAGTTAGAAAAGTTAACTAAAACAGTGATAAATGTCAAATCCGCCACCAAAAGAGGATGAATGAGCATTTGGTCCAATTGGTTCACCGTTTCCGAATAATCCGGTACGAGTACTTGGTCAACCAAATATGTATGTAGCACTGTGATACAAGTATGCTGTACCGATACATGGTCGAGCATGGAATAATGGTGGTGTTTTGGAATGCTCATTTCCATATAAAAAAGCTGAATTAACTAGTATCAAAGATCTTGGTGGCCAAATACAAGTAGTTTTAAGTTAATGTCTTATTTAAAAATATATTTATTTAAAACATAAAAATATTTTTTTTAAAAATATTTAAAAATATATTTAACCACCAATAATATTTCAAATAAGGATATTTAGAATTAAGATTTCAAACGTAATCTTTATAATTCTTATATAAATGGCAGAAAGTTATGCACAGTTCTTGAAGAAAATTTACAATTCAAGCAATTTTCATTTTTTTCTTTGCATTGATGAAAAGAAAAAAATAACTATCGTTTTTGAATGTAATTATAGATAGATTTAAATTTAATGAAATATAAAATTTTTTCTATCTCATTTTTTTGCTGATATCCTAAATGATTCAGGTCATACTTATGTAGGCAAAATAAAAATGAGTTACTTCATAGGTAAGCTGATTCATTCTTATGTTTAATTTATCTAATAACAGGTATTACATTATATTAGGTACTTCAATTTGGTTTCTAGTTTGAATGGATCAAATACAATGATCGTTTTGAAAAAGCCGATATTCGGCAAATTATACACTGTAGTGATTGGACACCTGTGGAAAGACAGACCGGAAGGTGCATTACTCGGTTATCTGGATAATAAGACGGAATTGGTACTTATTGATTGATATTTAAATTTTTAGTTAGCTATTATAAAAATAAATAATGCAATGAATTATATATATGATTTGTAGTAGAAAATGATATTAACAAGTAAGTTAACTGTATAGTTAATTGTAATGCACTATTATAGGTTTATTTACTTAAAAATCAATATGTAAGCATATTTCTCAATTACCAAATTTAATTATTAGCAATGCAAGAGTATATGTTATTACTTAAAATCAACACTTAAGTATATTTTTTGATCAAATCAAATTCGCTAAGTCAAATAATTCAATAATTTTTAGACACATTTTTCATTTAATGGAAAAGCGGAATGATTGCAAGGACAATTACTAGGTAATATGTGGATTATTGTACGTAATACGAAAGGTGAACCACCAACATGTGGTTGTAAGCATGGCGATAAGCCACCACCACCACGTGTTATGATTGATGAATGGATTGATTTATGGCCGGTGATCCATGACCAAAGGATTAGCAACTTAATAAAGCACTGAATAAAAATCTTAATACACATCAAGGTGAAAATCCAGAACAATATGTTGCGCTATGGTATCAACAAGGTGAACCTGATATGGTAGAATATGGAATGATAATGGCAAGGTTAGATAAAGAAAGAGAGAGAGAGAAACAAAGCAATTATTGATAAAGATTATTTGATAAAAATTTATCATTAATATGTTTCATTTTTTTTTTTTTTTTTCGTGCATTATTCTTAAATGATAAAAAAAAAGCATGTTGAGATTAGCTTTAGAGTGGATTTTACTAGGAAATATTTTATGAAATGTTTAAGGTAGCAGCTTATTTTGGTTGGAATAAAAACCCATTCATTGCATATCTTCATAGAGCTACCGGATTTTGTTCGTGGCTATGACTACGACTGGAAGTTATTCTCGCTTTGTGCATTATTCGGTGAGAAAGAATGGTTCTCAGTACATGTTGATCGTAAAGATATTATATCACCTTGTGTATGCAAAATTGATGGTGAAGAAATTCTCGGAAAGTAAACAAAATAATTACCATTCTTAAATTTTGAATAATTCATGAAGTTTATTTCAAAAAATTTGATTCATAAAGTGTCATGTTGAACAAATATAAAAGCTATCTATGATGAAGAATCATGAAACTAAAATCAGTTTCGAAATTTGCATAGTCAAACTGCATGAAAAAGAGTTATTGACGGAAAATAACTATTCTAGAATTAACAGAGCTTATAGTTTTGATATTAGAAATTTCATAACAAAAAAAAAAATCATACATAAAATTTTGAAAATGAGAAGTAGGAACAGTTCAGTTGACGTCAACAATTTTCCTTTCAAATTTCCTCAAAAAAAAAAATTAAAAAATGCAAACCATTTTCATTGTATAAAAGAAAAGAAATCAAATTAAAATAAAAAAAGAATCTGAAGTAAAACCTAAAAAGAAATAATATTTGGAGTTTTTTTTTTTTTTTTTCAATACACTTCTTTCTTGAATATATCCACAAAATTTCAGGCTGATATCCGTAATAAGAAAGTATCGGCAGCTTTTGGAGGGAAGGAGCATATCATGGGACTATCGGTACAAAAGCAAATGGTACTCTGCCCCAAAGACCTGGCTACAAATTTGATTAATTGCAAGCGTCCTCCCTTGAATGAATGGTCATTCGTAATCAACCTCTAATATTACTTCCAAAAATAAAACTGCTACTAATATAATGGCATTTCCCACTATTTTTTCTATTCATGAAAAAGCTAAAAAACTTTTGTATCAAGAAAAAAAAGGAAATAAAAAACGAGAAATACCCAATAAAAATCCGGGAAGATACAAAACCTTACTAACCAACTCATTCCCAATTCAAAGAAATGTTAAAAAAAAAAAAAAAAAAAAACCCCAATTAATCTATTTTTCCACAGAACAAAAGACCGCGATGTCCATCCTCTCAATCTCACTCCATACTTTCAATTAATTTCATGAATTCTCCAATAGTTGCTAACCAAATATCTCCATTGGTTACTGCTGAGTCTTATTGCTCCTTTACACATTTAAAAAATTGCAAAATAATGATAAATACGTCATCAGTGGAAAAGGCACGTTGTTTATTGGCAAGCCAAAATAAACCTAAAAAAGTTAATTTGGCATACAATTTTATTCATCACTACCATCAAAAATTTATTCTTCAAAGCACTATTCATCAGCACATACCACCATAAGATGAAAGTAGTATTTGTGGAAGCAATCAGTTTAGTGACAAATAATAAAAGAACAGAGTGAAATCGTAGAACTTCGAGATGGAAGTAAAGAACTCGTTTAAATAGCACGTGTCAGTAGAATGCCGACAGTAAAAAAATTTTACAAGACTGCGTTAAAATCGAGAATTTATAAAAAAAAAAAAAATTACATTCTTCTTTCCATCTTTCCTCCTCTCCTCCTCCGCCTGAGAAAAAACTTTGAGAAACTTAAAAAATTTAAGTTACAAAATTCAAGAAACATTGCTTCAGAAACTTGAAGTTTCTTAAAAAAATCCAGAAGGAAATCAAATAAATCATCATGGAACACCATACAGTAGAATATTCATAATTTGCTAAAACAAAGAAAAAAAAATATTTAGTGCAGAAACCGGGGAAAGGAATTATGATATCAATTATACATAACGAACTAAATCGTTGAATTATGATCCTGCCGGCTGTTCCATTAGCTCTGCCGGCAGTGGACTTTTCGGATGCTTCGATTCGAAATGTTCCTTATAACTCCTTTTATCCATCATCTGCGCCTAAAATAAATAAACAAATAATTGGCTGAAATTCAGGAAAATAAACTCTTTCAAAAAGATTATTTTTTTAGAAATTTAAAACACAAATGATAAGTGTCCTTTGGTTATTGTAAATAACCGAAAAAATTAGTCAGTGAAATCTTTATGCAAGCACAAAAAAGATCACTGTGTAATTCTGAGCAGTTGTTGCTTCAACCAAAAAGAGAAGATATTACAATAAGTTTACAGCAAAAGCGAATTTCTAACTCTAACCTAAAAATGAAGAAATTTTGTCCATTACTTCACTTAGCAAAATGGTGTCTGAACAAGCTTTTGTTGCTGTACAAAGAAATTACGTATTAAGCATACGTAAAACATCAAATTTTGTATTATTTTTGCTGAAACTTACCATACAAACAGTGCATTTATAGATAAGCGATTTGAGGCACGCACCCTTCTGGTCATGTCCAATTGATTTCTTCAGTGCTTCTTGCTTCTTCAGATTCTTCGCCTTAGCTTGCATCTTCATGTGACCGCGTGTCATTGTTGCAAGCTGTTGAAATCACTACTGGGAAGCTATTAACTTAAGCGTTAAGACGGTTTTGAAAATTAACAAGATTAAGACGCATTTGCTACAAAACTCGTTCCTAATGCTATCAATTTGGAGATATGAACATTCCAGTGAGAACCACTGGAATCCGAAACCTAAAAATTTGTTAAAATTTCTCTTATTCACCGCGAATTCCAAATATGATCTACATTGGACTCTATTACTATGCAGCTATTCCAGTTATAATTCGACCCTGAGCACTCATAGCTCCTGATATATGCCAAAATTTATGAGGAGTAACAGCCAAGTATCATAAGTTGTCGAGTACCATGCAGTACACCTGCCAAGTTTAAGCTGAACATAAGAGAGCAATCTTTAAGTATCTTCGGCTTAATACCGAAGAAAAACTCAATTTTCAAGCTGAAAAGAATCCTTTATTTATTCAACCACAGTTGGAAAACCTACATTTAAATGTTATACAATGAAATAAGAACAATTACCGGACAAAAAAACACTGAAATTATTACCTATAATTGACTGCTACCATTAAATGAACTATTAATCATTCATATGGACAATATGCATCATATTGCTTATTATAGTACCACCATTTTATTAAAATTAAGAGGCAGAAAATGAGTATTCATAAGACAGACAATGTACACAACTGCGCCATTAACGGTGCAGGAATTATGGCGCAAATGCGCCACCGAAACATATAGACAGTATAAAATAATCATCGATATACAAAATATGAAATGCTAATATGATTCCAATATATTTATGCCTGAACATCCACTAATTCTGGTGGAAGCACAGCTTTCGGATGTTTCGATTGGAAATGCTGCTTGTAGGTTTTCGGATCCGGCATCAGTGCCTATAACAAATATTTTTAGCGCTTGACTTTTCTGAAAAATAATGTGAACTCGAAAACTTGAAATTTAGCACTGGAATGCATTATGATTATTGAAGCTTCCACCCAGAAACGATTATGCTCTCTAGTTGCTTTATGATAAGACGACCATTTAAAAATAAACTGTTGTTCCCTTTTTGAAATGAATTTAAACCAGCGGCTTCTATTCATTTTGTTTCTTTCACCCACTTTATTGTAATAAAACCTTCCAATCAGTGAATAAAAATGCAGTATAAACTACGCAATCTGATAAAAAAAAGTGAGACAAAATTAGAAAAATCTTTTCATCAGTTTAAAATAATAACGTAAAAAGATTTGGAAGATGACACCATTAAAAAAATATATATCAAATTTGTCGATTATAGCAAGCAGATTTCCAAAAGACAACTTTACCATGCAAACGGTACACTTATGCGTAAGTGCTTTTATAGCGGCTGCCTTCTGATCACTTCCTTTCGATTTCTTCATTTCCTCTTGCTTCTTCAAATTTTTTTGTTGTGACTGAAACTTCTGGTGACCACGAGCCATTGAGCTTCTTTTTATTTCAACACTAACAAGCTGCAAATATCTAAGCATTAGAGATCATCTGTTTCCTAATTTTTTTACATCATGGAGGTGAAAATTCCGAAATAATTCCAAATTAATCCAGAATTTAGGAAAATCAAATCGATCAGTATCCCATATCTCTAAAGAACGTGAAACAATAAAGATATCATAGACTCAGAAAAATATGTGGTTCATACTTAGACATTACTACATTCTTATTATATTAAGCAGGATAAGAAAAAATGTTTTTTATGCATAGGCAATAGTACCACCAAAGACAAATTTTCTAAAGTTACTGCTGCAAGAATGAACTCTACCTTGCCAAAGTAACTCATCTAATGATAAACTTGAGATAAGCTCAATCGCAAGATCCAAATAAATTCATATAACATTTTTGATTCAAGAAGTTAATTATTTCATACTGAAGTATGCCACACACTACATTCTACTAACACCACTGAACATTAAATAAATGGAGAGGAGACATGGCAAAAAAAGAAAAAATTTAAAGAGGAGACATCGCATAAATTCCATAAGCTGAAAGGTGATGAATTTTTCAAAGATGACAGTAGCAATTAACTTCCCAACCAATGAGAAAAACTTGACCGTTACTAATTTAAAAATAAATAACTTAATCACAATGAATAATTCCAGAGAGAATGAATAAAGAAAAGTTTTCAATGAAATCGTTAAAAGACAGGTTTATCTAACGACTCAAGGTTCATAATTTCTCTGGAAAGAAGCTCATATAGCTGACGTATTCATTTAATCTTCCCCACTAAAATCAAGCTAATATACATTTGATGAAAAAATCAGTGAACATTTAAGAACCCATCAATCATTTCTTCTTCTAAAATCGGGAAGAAAGCCTATTTACTATTAATAAATAGGACCCAACATGTAAAATTCTACACCAGTACATGTTATTTTGCAATAAACAAAATCCAAAATGACGCTACCGATCACTGCATTTACTAACACAATTTAAATTAAAAACAGCCAGTTGGAATAATATTAACTAATGGATAAAAAATAAATGCAAATATGGTAAGAAGCCAGTAAACTCCTCTAGTTGCAGCAAAAATAAATTATGTAAAAGCTAACAACATTTATTTTTTTTACAAACGACAACATAGGAATCTTCCGTGAACCGTAAACAAGACAAACAGGTACAAAAGACATTCTCAGAAAATATGTATAAAGCTATCATTTATTCATTTATCCATCGAAGGATAAGCCAAAATTAAAAATATTAAGTTTATACGTGATACGTAGTACAACCGGAACTGCAGGAGGAAAAGAAATTAAGTATACTTAGAACTATTGAATTCATAGGATCAGTCGAAACAGGAAAGAAATCATCATTTCTCTTAAAACCTTTTGTAAAAAAGTATAAAACTGTGAAGAATAACAGATCCACATAACTACAAATAGTAAAAGAAAAGTGAAGATCTAGCTATCCAGCACAATTCAATTAATTTTTGGTTCTCTTTTCAAATTTAAATTCCTAAACTCAAAACTTATGGAAGTGTGAAAAAAAATAGGAATACTAATATTACAAGCAAGAAGATTCAGCAAAAAGATTAGAATCAATTATATATGGGCGTAAAATCATGCTTTGAAGACAATGAGAATAACTTATTCGAAATCCAGGAAAATTTTACAGCATAAATCCGTCCCACATTAAATAGTCACACAGACCAGTTCAAAAGGTTTGATTACTGCAGCAAAGCATTAGGGAAGTTTAGACAATTTCACAAGTAGCACCTAATTTTTCAAGTTTTGTTTTTAGTTCTTCGGCCTCCTTTTTACTCAGATCTTCCTTCACTGTAGCGGGCAACGCTTCTACAAATTTCTTCGCCTGTACCAAATTAAAACCTTCCACTATTGCGCGAACTTCTTTGATTAATGGGATTTTCTTTGAATCATCTACTTTCGTTAATTTCACCGAAAAAAACGTCTTTTGGGATGGTTGAGGTTTCTCCATTTTCGCTCCTTCTTCTAGAATAGAAAAAAGTACAACACATATAAGAGAACAAAAATGCAAAAAAATGTTTCCGTCATAAAAGAGAAAAAATTTTCCAAAAACAACATTTTCCACATTGAAAATCAAAACGCCATGACTAAAACTTTTACCTGCAGCAGAAGTAATCCCTGAGGCAGCAAATGACTGAGAAAAAACTGGTGCGTCCGGTAAGTTCAATTTTTTTTTCAGAGTGCTATTTAGATCTGCCACTTCGAAAATCGTTAAACTGACTATTTCGTTTGCTAACCGAAGGATCCGTTCTGATACCACCTTTTCGTCATCATAGTGTGGAAGCGGAGATGCCTTCCCTGGTTCCAGTGGTAGCTTGGTAGCTTTTTGGTCACTGGTTAACTCCATTCTTTCAGCATTAATCATAGAAGGGGTTTGTGCCTCTGCTTCTTGCTTCTTTTCTGGGGTTATATGCGTTCGTTCAGCATCTTCGGATTTTTCGACTTTGGTAGATGCAGCAGTTATTTTTTTGCCTTCTGAAGACAACTTTTCTAATGGAAGTGGCGCTTGTGCTACACCTTCTGAAACAAAAATTCATTTATATTAAAAGGCAGCTAAGTACTAGATATCCTGTTTTACCTCCTTATTGATTTGGTTGTTTTTCGACTAATCAGTACAGGAGATTAACGAAAATTTTACAGAAAACAAATAAATGATAACCTGTGGCAAGCCTCGTATTCCTTATTAGTAATGTAAAGCGATTTCGTGAAATAACAGCTCTTGTCAACATATTTCGTATGCAAACTATTTCCATACTTCCTAGTGAATACTAAAATTAAGTGAAAAAAAGAAAAAGTTGACAGTATGATGATATGATGCAATATTTGAAAAACCAAAGAAATCGGAATACTGCAAACAAAGATAAAACAACATGTTCCTATAAACTGTATATACGATATACACCATACTTTCTACTTTTGTTATCCAAACTATAATAAAAATTACCATTTCTATTGTAAGATAAAAGTTATGGACATAAAACACATTTGCCGTAAGATACAAATCAGAACATGCAAATAACTATTGCTATTAGATCCAAGCTATAATATGCGACCCACCCTTTCTACAAAATACTGGCTGCATTATGTAGATACAAGAAGAAACTGCATCATGTAATCTAATCTTCTTGCAAGACACAAATTATCGTATGTAACCTGCTCTCCCTATAAAATGCAACTAAACCAGTCGTGCATAAGACCTAGAAAAAATCTGCCGGAATTTATCCCCACGGGTAAAATGCACAGTAATCATTTAAAATGCAAGATGCAACTCACAAATTGCTAACATACAGTTACACCGTAATCGTTGTAAGACCGAAATTGATTAAAAGACGTAATACACAAACGACGCACCGAACGTTTAACTGAAAGTTAAGATGGCGTGGTCCATATATGTAAGGCTTTATTATAATATGACCATATTATATTGTGCATAATTTGTCTAACTATTTCAAATGACATTTTCACCTTTTTCCAAACAATTAAATATAGCATTCACATATTAACATCGATCTTCAATTTATGCAAATTTCTCTTTGTAATTATCCCTCAATTCTGAATTTTTTCCAAAGCAATCGATTATGAAAATCTTTAATATAGCAACTGTGCATTTAGTTGTAATACGAAGTTCTGCTCAGTCTATACACTAATTACACTATAACACTGTTTCATTGCATTTAAATACTAATTAAAATATCAGCACATTATAATTTATCACAACTAATATAATATGTTGTAGAAATAATTAATCACAGTATTTCTGCATGATAATGAGTATTGATAACATGATAAGCGAGTTTAGAAAATCTATTCATCTAGTGATATCATCTCCAAAGAAATAGTTATTTGATTAAAACTGTTTTTTCGCCATCACATAAAAGTTCATACAATTTCATCAAAGTTAAAGAAAAGAGTGTACTTCAAGAGTCCAGAAGATCTGCCACTGCACAAGCGAAAATTCGGAAGAATAAATGGGATATAGGTGAATCGATTATTGAACGACGAAGACATATATCGACATTTTATTTTTTGAAAAGATGTGCATTGATTTTAGTAATTAGAACACCAGTAATTTTAAACAGCATGCTTTTTATATTTTCTAAATAGTATCAGAGAAAATGATCTAGAATTGGTAATGTCTTTTTTTCTTAATACTGTTGCTTCTTACAATGAAAATTTATACTTGCACGAATTCATAATATTCCTCTTTTGTGAGATACTGAATAAGCACAAAAGGAAAAGTAATAGAATTCACAAATGAGCACAATACAACATAATACAAATTTCTTGATCTAAGATTTCTTAAAGGGTAAAGCTGACTGAAGTAAAGCTTCTGGAAAAATACAGTAAAGTACCACCAAAGTAACTAGAAATCAAAAGAACAAAATTATAAACTCACAATCTTATCATCTTTGATGTGGTGCAGTCGCTCATTTAGTCAGGAAAAATACAATACCTCTGCGCTGCACGAGTTACAAAAACTTTTATACCATTATAACTAATTTGAACCTCTAAAGTACATGCAGCAGAATATAAAAGTTAAAACAATGAAAACATTAGCAACATAAGGAAAGACAGCAAAATAAACCATATTGAATTATGATTTCTTGTAACTTTCAATCAGTCCCGTTTTTGTTCTCAATCATTTACAATATGCTTTGCTTAAAAAGATCATGTAATGTGATATCATACTTAAACTTATAATCATCCCAGTATCTACCAAAATATTTTTGTTATGACTATATTAACACGTGACCACTACATGTGACCATCGACAAAGACTCAAACTTATATGAACAAAACCACATGCTTAACTCATGCAGATGTACACGGAAATGGACTTCATCAAAATAATTCTTACTGAACTTAATGAAATACCTAGTTTAATATATTACACGGATAATTGCCTTCTACTCTCAACTTTACGGTTGAGCTTACTTCAATGAATGTTCACTACAGTTCTACAGTTTAAAAAGCAAAACGAATATATGTAATCAAGAACATTGATTTGACGGAACGACAGAACAATGCTTCACCTCTGATAAACAATTTTCCAATAATTCACATACCTCTGAAAATAATTTAAATTGTTCCCATTCATCAGAAATATAACTCATAAGGTTTAAATTTCTGATCAAATATTTCCAGTACCGTTTACTGTTCTCGATCCACGAGGAATTATTTTTGGTATTACATATCTGCCTGAAATCAAGCACCTGGAACGGGATTGAAAATACCTACAAGAATGCTTTTGCTTCTCTCAATGCTTCTCGTACAGCAGGAGGATAGTCTTCAGCTTTTATAGATTTCACAAGACAATATGACACGTATTTCACTGATACCCATCGCCTGCAAATGAAATTAGTTAAGAAAATAGTTCAACTCCACTGCAATATTTTAAATCATAAATCAAGAGTGTTTTCACGCAGTTACATCATGACAGTTAAATAAAACTATGACTTTTCACTAATAAGACTATAAAGCACCCTGCTCATCTGCATTATTAAGATAATCATGAGAAATTCACATTTAACATCAAAATTCCTGACCGATTATACAGAGCTTATGATAAAGTGATAAATTCGAGTTGAGGCAAAAAATGTCAATAATGACTTCAATCAGGTCATTAAAATATTTCGATTATCATCAAAGTTTGCGTATGCTCGTAATTTGCGTGCAACCATGTGGTTTTGCACTAAACATTTTTACTAACAACAACTGAGAAAAGAAAAGATTGGAATTTTCTCATTTAAGCTCTCACCAATTCTTTTGGCCATCAAAATATAAGACCAAAACATATTGCATGTAATCATGTGGTTTTGCACTAAACATCTCATCTGTTGGCAAATCATCTAGTAGTACCTGAAATTATGATAAAGTATCTGAAAATTTAGGGAAAGTAAAATCCATGATTGACTAACCATTTAACTGATAGTGTACATATACAGTTTCTAACAATAGCCCTATCACTAAAAATGATAATTTCGAAAACGTACCCTCATTCGTAAATCGATAACCCTACCAATTTTACGTTCATCATTTTCCGTTATCCAAACAATATCGTCATGTTGAAATTCACATGCCACTTCAACTGTCTCTGCAATGCTCTTTTTTTAATGAATAATGTGAAGTTTCTCCAACAAAATTTTATGATATTATGAGGTGCTATAGTGCAGTTGAACATGTATTCCACAACGTAAAGAGTAAAGAAGCAATGTCACAACTACAAAGGATTAGCGGTCAAAACTGCCTAGTTACCTAAAAAGATTATTTTTACAAATAAAAAAAAAAACATAGCCCTTCCTACTATCAAAAACAAACATGATGGCAATACTTGGAAACAAGTTACAGCATGTTACTGGTTTTCAATAAATCAAAACTGCAGATCTGTTCTAAATTTCGATAAAACAAATTCACATCAAAATTTTCCCTAGTATTACGAATGAAAAGATTACCAACAGGACGTTCCATTGGTTGTGGTGGTATCAGCTTTCGACATTTTCTTGTGTTCCTTCGACGTCCACGCCGAAGATGTATCTCTTCGTCAGCAGAACTTGATTCTTCCATTGTGGAAGTATCAGTTGTCAAGAATTTTGGACTTTTCAGTGGATCGCTTCTATAGGTCATAAATGACTCTATTGCTGAAAGTGAAAAAAAAAAAAAAAAAAAAAAACGCAAACTAGCAACTAAACAGAGGAAAAAAATCTCATTTACACAAACTACAAAACCAATCGCATGAAATGTCATCTTATATATTATGTCACAGCTCATCCATAAGTAAGCAGTAATATATTGGAATCCATATATCAGTTATGATACGTGGAGTATTTATGATGGAACTAGTAATCGAGATTAAAGTGGGAAGAATTGAATAAGAAAATCTAGAAAGAAAGCCCTAAAACATCAATGATTAGACTTCTATAAAGCCATAGCAAAGTTACATACCCAACGAAAATCACATACCCAGATTATATTTAGGGCGCTTTGGTGTAATGCTGTCGTCAAAAGTCCGCAAAGTACGCTTCCGAGTTGATACCCTCGTTGGCAACGTTTTTTCACCCTTTGAACTACGGCATGTTGACATTTTTCTCGGCACAAAATCTAAACCATCATCGTTTTCCTCTTCGTTATCAAGTTTTGGACCTTCGACAGGTGTATATGATATGCTTGATATCGTTTTTAATACCCCATTTGCCTACAAAATAGTTTAATGGAGTAAAACACTTTTCTGAGCTTATCGGTATTTTAAATGCGAAATGGTCCGATCTGCAATTGAAGATTTTAGTAAACCGAAAAAAAGTTCTCTAACGAAAACGATGTAAGGAGGTTTCTGTTATAGTGAAGTCTTTTTGTTGAGAAACAACCATCGCTTTTTTTAATCTAGACCAAAAGAAAAAAACAGTTCGACATAATTTTTTTTATTCTTTTAGAAATAGTCCTTCTCCTTGTCATGTTTGAGATAAACAATTAAGCAAACAATTGATGTAGTTTAAATCTATTAATGTATGGTTAGTAACATAAAAAACATTGAAATATTTATACCAAAGTAAGAGCCTGTACGTCTTTTTCAGCAACTCTGAAATATTTCAAACCAATGCGATGCAATCGATGACCATATTTCCAGAAGAATTCATTATGTCGATTAAATGTTGAACAATTGTTCATCATTAATGTGAAATCAGATTTCAGTTGTGAGAGATTCTTGTAATCACCTTTTGCAAGTTTCCTTTAAAATAATCACTTGACTTTTGCTATT